TTTATTATGTATATGTTAAACCAGGTGAGAAAGGAGAAGCTGGGAGATAGAATAACAGCCCTTCACCAGTTAGTCTCCCCATTTGGAAAGGTAAACCCAAAACCCAAAAACTAATAAACACAGCAGATAAGCTGCATATTCTCTTTTATTTCTTTCAAAAATATTTATACATCCAACATGATATGATTGGACTCATCACTTGCATGTATAAATCTTGCATAAAATTTAATTTTTAATTAAATCTATTTGTTTGAGATCTACTGTATTATATAGAGCACCATCATTTTCAGCCATTGAAAATCAACCACATTTATGTAAGATTTTAAGTGATGCTAACTTGTATGTTTTGAGAGTTCACTTTTTTCTCTTCCTATCTTTTTTTCATCTGGTAGTTCTTTTTCTCTTTTACCACGAACATATATTAAAAGTGAATGACATAAGGTTTTTGTTTTTGGTCACTTTTGCAGACTGACACTGCTTCTGTGTTGTTAGAAGCTATTGGGTATATCAGATTCCTTCAGGGTCAAATTGAGGTGATGGTTCTGATTGATCTGCTTCAAATTTTAATTTTAAACTCTTACATTGCACAGAATAAGAGCATATATGTACTTCCTTTTTCCAACCGGTAAAACAGAAGGGCATATACATTTGTACTTTTAAGTTTTCAATATTTCAATAGTTTTTCTTTTAGTTATGGAATTTATAATTTTAAAATAAATATTGCAGGCCCTTAGCTCTCCTTACTTAGGCACTGCAGCATCAACAAACAGCAGAAACCAACATTCTGTGAGTACCCATATATGAATCTACTCATTTTCCTAGGCTTTCTTTCTTTTTAATTCTTTCTCTTTCCCCTCTCTTTCTCACCTTCCAAGCGTGCCCATAAGTGAGTTATTCTTTTTTTTTTTTTTTTTTTTTTCATTTTTCAGGTTCAAGGAGGAAAGAATTGTGCATTTTCTGAAGAGGCAGGACAGGTAAGCTTTATTGGATCCATCACCTCACAAAAAGCAAGCAGGGGAAGGCCAAAGGAGAGGGGAGTGTAATTTTGTTTTGATTAAAAAAGCTAGCATCTATTAAAACTATTTTATTCATAGAAGAAAAGCAATAATATTGAAAGAACAAGGTTCTCAGCTTTATATACTTTTCCATCAACAAAAGTTTAATTAAATTAACATAATTTAGAGGTGCATAATTAAGATTGGTCCATAGAATCAAAAAAATTAAAACAGAGTTGAAAATGTGAAACTACAAATGCTTTTCCCCCCATCCCCTCCTTTACCTTTTCATTTTTTCCTTTTTAATTTGCATACCTGCCTCACTTACATATGACTAAACTATTTGCAGGATGTCCAAGATAAGCCAAAGGACTTGAGGAGTAGAGGGCTGTGTTTGGTTCCGGTGTCGTGCACTCAGCAGGTTGGAAGTGAAAATGGTGCTGATTACTGGGCTCCGGCTTTTCCAGGAGGGTTTTAAGTCTTCATTTGTGTTTTGATGCACGAATTAGCTCTAGTTTGCCCATAAAACTCAGGTTGGATGGCCATGCAATGCAGGTCTTCGGTCCCCGATCAGAAAATCAAATGTTATAACATCATGAGCAGCCACCCTGCTGCAATATCTAAGGCTGATTGCTCATGATGCTATGCATTCTGGACCCAAAAAATGGTTGTTGTTTTCCAGGATAGTTTCTATTATTTTTATTTGAGGGCGTAAAGCTCCTTATATAAATTAGTACGTGATTTAAATTTTAAAGTATATTTTTGCTTGTTTCAAAATCCAACTAGCTATAGCTTCTCAAGATCTAAGCTAATAAAGTAACGCAACAGGTACAATATTAAGTTATATTGTATATTAGCTAATATTATAACGTAATACTAGACAAATAAATATATATAATATTATATGAAAGTTTAAGATATTTAATAAAAGTTAATTATTTAAATAAGTTAGTAGTAACTTTTTTTAATTGAAAAGTAAGAATTATTGAATTTGAATGGCATGAGACATAAGTAAGGTAAATTAAAATATAGGAAAAGAACATTTTTTTATCTTGAATTATATAATAAATAATAAAAAAATTATTTTTTATTATATAATTTAAAATAAAAAAATATATTTTCAATCAAATAATATTGTTCTACCTACCATTATATGCAAATTAAATATTTGTTGATGGATGTTTTTGTAAAATGCCAAATTTAAACTCGAGTAATTTTTATGTCATCAAGATCTGTCTCGATCTAAACACCTTTTAACGCTTTCAATATGCATTTACCAAAAGACCCAGTAATATCTAATGCTGTAATTCATTACTAGCCCCAGTAGTATCTATTACTACAATACATGGCTACATCACCAAACATATATAAGGAAGTCTCATTCATTTATTATTTTTTTTATTTATTAAATTTCATCATTTTCATCAACTAATTACTATCTTTATATGCAAGTCATTAATAAACCCATGAATCTAAGTTCATGGGAATTATTCGTGATAAACTATGGGAGTAGTGGCTTGGTAGGTATGGATGGATGAATGTTGCTCGTTTGACAAAGCAAGGTATGTGCCAACCAAGCTTGGAGCTGGCGATGTTACCTAATTTCGCCAAAAAGGGCTAGGTGGCAAAGACGTGGAGGCTAGACTTTATCCCTAAAACCGTACCATTTGATGCTAACTAGAAACTTGGAATCTTATTCAAAAACCAAAACCAACCAAAGATGTTGTTTTAGTCCCAATCAATAAATTATAGTTGTATTTAATGCAAGGATGGTTACATAACTTCCATGGCCTTGGAAACTGTTGAAAAAGATCACATTTTCTTTGGAAAATCTACCAAAATCCTTGGCAAACCTTGAGAATCTACCACAATCCTATGCAGCTTTTATTTTTGCTAGCGACACTCAATTATCCCCCAAGAATGGACAACCTTCAACATATTAGCAATATTTCACTAGAACTAGCAGTGTTTCATTGGAATCAGCAGTGTTTCGCTAGTACACTGGATAATTCATAATATCACTGTCAAAAAGCTATCAACAATGTCCAAAACCACTAAAAACTCAATAGCTCACCCAAATCTACCCATTAGGTCATCGTACACCTCTGACCCCATCAACTAAAAATTACAAAAATACCACTGCACATATATATTATTTTTCCTTCATTTTTCAATAGATAAGAATAGATTTTCTGCCCCCAACTTCTTTCCTCACGTACCTAACTTTCATTTTTCCTCTAAAAAAATCCTTCATCTTCAATCTCTCACCCTACACATTGAAATAACCAAGAAATCACAATTTTCTTCATATTTTCTACATTTCCAATACTGCAAAATAATTTCCAGACTTGCAAAACATCATATGATTGAAAGGCAGCATGCTTCAATTTCAGATGTTGGGTAATTTTTCTTGAGCATCAAAGGATCAAGCTGAAAGGTTAACACAAAAAACGGGATCAAGCTCTCCACTCACAAGCCTCCAAAGTGGTCATCCTTCCTTCTCCCATCACTATTTTCAAGTTTCTTCTTTTTGTTCTTAAGAAAGCTTCAAAGGAGGGATTGTTGTATTTTTTGTTTGTACCATGAGAGTTATTCATTATGGAGTAGGGTATTTGTGAGGGATAATAGAGGGTAAACTTATGGTCATTATTATTATGTTACAATATTCTATATATAAATGTGCTTCTCAAGTTGTAATCCTTGATCCTCATGTATTTTCTATCATTGCTGCTCTTGTTATGATGTTCACCTTCTCTTCACTCTTTTGGCAGTTGTGTAATCATTCCCAGTTCTTAGAATCCCATCGTCTTTGCTAAGTTCTCTCCTTCTTGGCTTGGTTGAAAAATTTACATTTTCGACTTTGCTAGAGAATTTGCTACTAACCATCATCGCTAGATAGAATAAGATGGCTTGTGGCATGTAACCTCTTGCATGTGAAAAAGATATTACCAAAAAGACCCTCTTCACTTTTCATACATGGTATCTTAGTCAGTTTCCATATCATCTTTACTGTTGACTCATCATCTTACATCACCAGCATACCACAACAATATTATACATGAATCATTTTTTAAATTAATAATTCATTCAGTAGTAGTAAAATTCATATTTTATCATCTAGCCATTTGTCTAGGTGGAACGGAAAGCTTGAACCGGGCATGTGAAGGAGGTGACCTGAATACGCCAAAAATGGTATGGACCCCATTTTCGGGTCCCTGACCTAGAGTCTAGACCGCTTTTTCTTTGTGGACTGCACTCAAGTGGACTGGGCCACGCCAGGGCCTCCCTCCCCGCTCGCGTAATGCTCACGATTATATTGTGTCACCATTAAAGTTGCACAATAAAAGGACGTCCTGTTCAAACCCAGTCCCTAAATTACAAAGGATTGAATTTTCCTCAAAATTTTATAGACGAGGTATTGGTTGTATCTCCAGACAACATTGTAGTTACAATATAATTTAAAATTATAAGTTTATGTGGTGTCATTGAATTTTTTTTTTTTTTTTCAGAAATTGCAAACAGTTATTAATTTGAGGGAGAAGAATGAAGAAGAATATGCTGCAGATAGAAGAAGGCATTTTCAATTTCTCATAACAAGTTACCGTTTTAGAAGGGAACAAACTTTGGCAAGCACTCATTTTCCTAGCTTGCTTAATCAGACCGAACCAAATAACCATAAAGATTCAACATCACTTCATGATGACCACCTCTCGAATATGCCAAAGGAAACACCACACCATGAAATAAAAGTGGTAGGAGTCCTTTGCCTATTTTCAAAAAAAAAAAAATGTGGTGAGAGAAAATGGTTTACTCCAATAGACTCCATACTCGTTCATATAAACCCATACATCAGTACATTCTTCCTGATGATCCAAAGACGCACAAAGACAACCTCCCAAGATTCCCACATGCGGATTGAGTTTTCCAAAGAAACATTCTGAGAGTGGCACACGCACAACATCGTATTCCTCTCTCACCAAATCAAATGCAACAGTCTTCCCATCAGACAGAGAAGAGTTGGAATTTAATATCCCCCAATGCAGTGCATTATTAGTATGAATTCCAACTCCTCTCATATCACTCAAAAAAGGACAGTGCTCAATTTTTCTCCAAGAATTACTCCTCAAACTATAAACCTCCACTTGATCAAGATTTGCAACAGACTTCGTAGTAGGATAACAAATCTCAGAGAAGTGTGTGTTCATCACCAACTTGTAATCATTGGCATTGGGGTCATAATCAAATCCATAACTACCGTATTTTTCTAGTGGAGGGATTCCATATTTATGATTTTCCGAGGATTTTTACAGAGAGAAACTAATCCATATCACAAGAACCAATTATCACATCTGAAGCACGATTGGGATATTCTAGAGGTGGTTGGAGGGAATCCACGTCTAGCGTCATGAAGTCGCCCTGATGGGAAAGAAGAAAGAGATTGACACTGGTTTTGAGAGAATAAGAGAGATGCAGCCTGGTGAACTCGAGGGCGTTAATAAGGAAGCAACATGGTTTCAACAGGCACCTAAAGCGAGAACATCTTTCAGAGCCAAACCGAAGAGGACTTCCTGGATCATGTCAATTGTAAAGCTCGACATCTTCTCGGGATTCAGGTTCAGGCAACTGCTGGCAGAACCTGACGATCGAGAGGAAATTTCTGCTGGGGCTGGGAATATTGTTTAACTTGGGATTAAGATACATTACCCTAACATGTTGGGGGCAGTTTAATCATAATATACATGGACTTTTCCTGCTCCATCTCGTGATTGTGGGCTTCAGTGGTTAACCCATAAGTATATAGAAAAAAAAAAATGGCATGGAGCCATGGACCCCAACTTCGGATCTCTCAACTCTCTAGACTAGAGTGTTGTGTAGAGCGCTTCTCTTCTGTGGGCTGCACTCAAGTGGCCTGGACCATGGCTTCTCTCCACTCCCTCGTAATCCTGTATGTATGTGAAGGGAAATTAATACATGGTCACCAATGTTATAAGGGCCAGGAAGCGTCGCGTTCTTGGTGGTTTGGGTTGGGTAATTATAAATTTGAACTCTTAGTCTGGTTTTCCCTGGAAAAAATGGGGAACAAATAAAATGTTGCTTTGAGATTGAAAAGAGTTAATTTTTGGTTTTCTACTTCAATTTTCTTCTTGCCTAGCTAGTGAGCATATTGAAGAGATAGACATGAGGCAAAAGTTGCATATTCTCCCTAAAATTATTGCGTTAAAACAAATCTATAACTTAAAAAAATGTAAACATAATTTGTTGTCTTAAATTTTTGTTTTTAAAAAATCAGTTAACATTTAACCATTATCATTAATTTTTGTTACACTCCAAGAGTAATATTTTAACAAAATTTAATGGCAACAATTAAATTTAAGTCAAATTTCTAAAAATTTAATTTTAAGAAGATAACTTGTTTTAACTTTTTTTTTTTAACAATTTACTTCAACACAAAATTATTAAGTCGCGATTTATACATTTTGCCTTAGACATGCTCATGTTGATGTCATATGTACAATGGCCTGCTTTGTTTTTGAGTAGAAAGTAGATAAAAACATTAATTTATAAAAGTAGCACTGTGGAACGAATGATGCATGTCTCTTTTGCTTCTTAAGGGCACTGCATCTACTTGCATATATATTGTAATGAATTTTCCTCTCTGTCCGTTCATGCACTGGCAAGTAAAAGTTGTAGGGGAAATTTTTTTATAAGCTTTGGGTCATAATTTGGCTCTGTAGTAAGGACAGTGGTTTGGGAAAGAAAAGTAGAGAATTTATTGCAATGCATTGATGAGAGATACTGCTGAAAATTAGTTTCTGAATTTAATTAGCTCGGTTGTCCCTGGAAATGTCTCCGCCATTTATACATACAGACTTGAGCTATCGACTTTGACACCTACAATATTACTGTCTCTACTTACCATCATAATTAAAATACAGCAAAATGAGAAGTTTTTCTGATTTTAGTGGGCACTTATATTTTGTAAATGATAATTTTATTTTTATAGAGGTATAGAATTCGAGATTCACCTTTATGTTAAAAAAAAAAAACAAAATGTTTTTCTTTAAAATAATTTGAAAATATGATCTATTTTATAGGAAAATATTACTAGCCAGGTGTAATTATCTTTTTATTGGCCAATGAATACTTATATGGTACTTAGCTATTGCATGATGTTGGACTTTGACCTTAGAAAGTGTAGAATGAAGGTTCTAAAATTACATCACATGTGAGTGTATTATTTGTAGAATGGAGAGTGTTTAAACAAGTTACTAGTTTAAAAATGATATAGTTACAATATTATTTAATATTTTAAATTTATAAAATGATGTATTATTAAATAGTTGATTATTTTATTTAAATATTTATTTATAATATTATATATTTATTTAATATCATATTAGGTTTAATTTAATATCAGATATTATTATAAATTTAATTTTATATAATATTATACTATTATATTACTGTAAATAGTTATCCTGTTCTCAAATAGACAATAATAATGAAAAATAGACACGTAAAGCTGACAGATAATTGCAGCGACTATTTTTTTTGGAGGTATTGATTCATTGATTAAAACTTGGAAGCCTAGAGGCCAAAC